GTGTGGGTAGGTACATAATACTACACACACACACATACGTATCTATGTATATATATACACCCCCAACACACCTCATTCCTCATTCATCAAAATTAATTACATCTCCTCCTGACCCCCCCTCCTCCATCTTCTCCTAATACTACTACTCTGCAGAGGAGTTCTTGATTTTGCTATCAACACAGCAGAAACAGAGAGAAGAAGAGGAAGAGTAAGAGGAAGAAGACGAAGATGGCGCTGGCTAAAGAAATGATGGGTTATTCTATGATAGAGAGATCACCATGGTTGGCATCATCGAAGAAACTCAGGTTGAAGTACAGAGATAATAGTTTGCCACAGAGGAAAACCCAGCTCCGGATTAACCCGGGTTCAGTTTTTTTGGAACACAGGAGGACGAATCCTGTCGTGGTGGCAGCTTTAAGTGAAGATTTGATCAAGTCGATTGGTAGTAGTAACAGCAGTAGCGGCAGGGAGAATGAAAATAAGGCAGTGAAGTTCAAGGTGAGAGCTGTTATGACTGTTAGGAACAAAAGTAAACAGGATCTTAAAGACACCATTGTCAAACATTTGGATGCTTTCTCTGAAAAAATTGGGAGAAATGTGGTGTTGGAACTTATCAGCAGCACTGAAATTGACCCAAGTAAGTTCATAATTTCATTATATCCTTTTCATTTTCATCTGGGTTTTTTGTTTTCTTTTGTGGGTAAAATTTATTTTTGGTGAGTGAACAAAATAACTTTATAATTTCACTCTAAACCTTTTCATTTTCATCCGGGTTTTTTGTTTTCTTTTGTGGGTAAAACTTATTTTTTTGGTTAATTTGGTGAATTAAGGAACCAAAGAGGCAAAGAAGAGCAATCAGGCTGTAATCAAGGATTGGTACAAGAAATCAAATGTGAAAGCTGAGAGAGTTCATTACACAACTGAGTTATTAGTGGATTCTAACTTTGGGGAAGCAGGAGCAATTACAGTCATCAACAAGCATCAGAATGAGTTCTTTCTGGAAAGTATCACCATTGAAGGATTTGCTTCTGGTCCACTCCATTTCCCCTGCAACTCTTGGGTTCAACCAGTCAAGCACCATTCATCCCCTAGAATTTTCTTCTCTAACAAGGTAAATCATTAACTAGCATTTATTTTTAGCCGTTTGTTTTTTCCTTTGACATTTTGATGGAGGATAAGGTAAAACCCATTTTGGGTTAACTATAAAAAAAAAAATGGTCAAAATTGTTGGATAACTTTGAATTTAATAACTTTGAATTCTTGTCATTGAATTGTTCAAACCCTGTTGGTTATTCTTAGAAAATCCAGAAGAATCTCACATAAGGATTATTTATCATATAAAATTATCATAATGATGATATTAATACAGGAGAAACAAAGAATGAGATCCAAACTTTGGAATTTAAAATTATTGGAGACAGGATTCCCATTTGTATAAGTGGATGGGGCCAGCTTTCTTGAAATCCCTCAGAAATATCTTTTGTTTTTCTCTACATTATAAATAAAGTCCATCAACCACTATCTGAACAACTGCCCAATAAATAACCCCCCCACCTATGCATACACATATATAAACAGGACAGTCCATTTTCTTGATTGAATATGGAATTTGATATTATCAACATTATTGATTGCAGCCATATTTGCCAAGTGACACACCTGTTGGACTGAAAGCATTAAGAGAGAAAGAACTAAAGGATCTGAGAGGTGATGGGAAAGGAGTTAGAAATTTATCAGACCGGGTTTACGACTTTGATGTGTATAATGATCTGGGAAATCCAGACAAGGGTTCTGATTTTGCTCGCCCTGTTCTTGGCCGCCAAATTCCCTACCCAAGACGGTGTCGTACTGGCCGTCCCCCTACTGATACAGGTAATTATACATATAGCTCTTTTAATTTCTTATCAACTTTTTTTTTATTCGTTAAATAATTGTGTTATGATCGGTGTAGATATGCATGTGGAGAGCCGGGTGGAGAAGCCATTGCCGGTGTACGTGCCAAGAGATGAACAATTTGAGGAGAGTAAACAAGATACTTTCTCTGCTGGGAGGTTGAAGGCGGTACTACACAACTTGATACCATCGTTGAAGGCCACCATTTCTGCTGATAATCATGATTTTAATGCCTTCTCCGACATTGATAATCTTTACAGAGAAGGTCTTCTTCTCAAGATAGGTTTACAGGATGAACTCATCAAGAAACTACCATTGCCTACTGTTGTTAACACTATTCAAGAATCCAGCCAGAGATTACTCAAATATAATACACCCAAGATTGTTTCAAGTAAGTACATATACATATACATATACATATATAAATATATAAATGCATCTTAATTTACCATGTGACTGATTCAATCATAAGTGGAAGGTGGAGGGTCCAACTCAAAAGAACTATGCTTCCTTCACTACTTTTTGTTAACGCTTTCTTTAAGAAAATTATAATATATGCAACAACCAGTGTGTATATAAATATATATAAATATTAACTTTTAGCAAAGTGCATCAACTGTGTTAAATCAGCACTTCAGATAGAAAAAAGAATGAACAGCATTTAACATGTGGGTTTATGTCCATATTATATACTATTAGTTCATGTGGGCTTGTGTCCATATATATATATATATATATGTACTATTAGCTAATTGCACGTGATTGGTCTGCAGAGGACAAGTTTGCTTGGTTGCGGGATGATGAATTTGCACGGCAGACTATGGCAGGGATAAATCCAGTCAGCATTGAGAGGCTTAGGGTTTTCCCCCCAGTTAGCAATCTTGACCCTCAAATCTACGGTTCACAACCATCCGCCCTTCAAGAACATCACATCGCTCCTCATCTCCATTGCATGACCGTACAACAGGTATACATACATACTTACATATATACATATATAGATATAGAGTGTTTAAGTTAAATTATTTGAAAAATAATGTTGATGTGAGTTTATTATGTCATATTTTATATAAAAAAAAATTTACCACTTTGTTTATATTAATATTTACAATTTTATTAACGATGTAGTATCAATTTTCACAATAAATTTTTTTTTTTCAATTTTAGTTATGGATGTAGATATATTTAAATTTTTTGTATTTTTTTATTTTTCTCTTTAATTTATGTGATTGTGTAAATTGAGAATTCATTTTCTTGACAAATAATATATATATGGTTTTTGTAAATGCAGGCTTTGGAGGAGAAAAAGCTATACATAATGGATTACCATGACGTATACTTACCATTTCTAGATCGGATTAATGCCTTGGACGGCCGGAAAGCCTATGCCACTCGGACCATTTTCTTCTTGACTCCTCAAGGCTGTCTCAAGCCTATAGCCATTGAGCTTAGCCTCCCGCACACCGGACCAACTTCTCGGCAGAAGCGCGTTGTCACGCCGCCCGTAGACGCCACTAGCAATTGGGTTTGGCAACTCGCCAAAGCTCATGTCTGTGCCAACGACGCTGGTGTCCACCAGTTGGTCAACCATTGGTATATACATCTCATATACATAAGTTTTATATATGTATTTGCTATTTATAATTGATTAATATTGGAATTGTTTGGTGAACGTATGCAGGCTACGTACACATGCTAGCATGGAGCCATTTATCTTGGCGGCTCATAGGCAAATGAGTGCCATGCACCCAATTTTTAAGCTTCTTGATCCACATATGAGGTATACATTAGAGATCAATGCGCTGGCTAGACAAAACCTAATCAACGCAGATGGTGTCATTGAGTCCTGCTTTACCCCCGGCCGCTACTGCATGGAAATGAGCGCCGCCGCCTATAGAAACCATTGGCGTTTTGACATGGAAGGCCTCCCCGCCGATCTCATCCGCAGGTACATATCATAGGTTAATAGATTAAAATGACATGTAGACACATCAATTGGTTAAAAACAAAATAGCTAACTATAATAAAAGAGAGAGATTTTGAAAAAAATTTAAGTATGTATTCCTTTATTTATACAAAAAAATTAATTTTATACTTTTAATACGTAATATTTATTCTGTTACAAATGAAAAAGTTTAAAAATATTAGTTAAAATTTGTGAAGGCTTTATTCAATTATTATCTACTGTTTTTTTTTTTAAAAAAGATCTTTATTGCTGAAACTAATTTTTGAAAATATTTTATTTGCTAAAACTAATTTTGAAAGAATCTACATTAATAGAACTAATTTTTGAAAAGATGTTATCCGATAGAACTAATTTCGGAAAGATCAGCTGTTCAACATAAACTCACATGATAAAATGTCTGTCTTTTTGTTAAATGGGTTTTCTGGGAATTTAACAAATCAATGTTGGTGTAATGCACAGAGGCATGGCTGAACCTGACCCAACACAACCACATGGGTTAAAGCTCTTGATTGAAGATTACCCATATGCGGCTGATGGGTTATTGATTTGGTCAGCAATTGAGAACTGGGTCGGAACCTACGTGAACCATTACTACCCAAACTCCACATTAATCTGCAACGACAGAGAGCTCCAAGCCTGGTACTCAGAGTCCATCAACGTCGGCCACGCCGACCTCCGTGAGGCAAACTGGTGGCCCAAATTAGACAACGCCGATGACTTAATCTCCATCCTCACCACCATCATCTGGCTCGCTTCCGCCCAACATGCCGCCCTTAATTTCGGACAATATCCTTATGGTGGGTACGTCCCAAATCGCCCACCCCTAATGAGAAGACTCATCCCAGAAGAAAATGACCCAGAGTATGCTAATTTTCTTGCTGACCCACAAAAGTATTTCCTCTCCGCATTGCCAAGTTTGCTTCAAGCTACAAAATTTATGGCTGTGGTGGACACCTTGTCGACCCACTCGCCGGACGAGGAGTACTTGGGGGAACGACAGCAGCCGTCGATTTGGTCCGGTGATGCAGAGATTATAGAAGCGTTTTATGGGTTTTCAGCCGAGATTATAAGGATAGAAAAGGAGATTGAGAAGAGGAACCAGGATCCTAGCCTTAAGAATCGTTGTGGAGCTGGAGTTTTGCCATATGAGCTTCTAGCGCCTAGTTCAGAACCTGGAGTAACTTGCAGAGGAGTCCCAAACAGTGTGTCGATATGAGGTGTAGTTCTTTAGTTTTGTTTTGGTAATTATAAGAATTTGTACGTATGTATATGCCGCTTGGGTCCTCTGGGTTTAACTTAGGCTGTATATGAAATAGATAAAATATTTAATAATTGTAGAACTTTGAGCTTATTGGTCTTGATTTGCAGATCAGACAAAATTCAATGATCTATTTGTGTAATCAAATAAAAAATCTTACATGTATGTGCATCATATTTATTTTACATAAATTCAAAATTTATATCAAACATTACTCACAACGACCATTAAATTTTATGAGGGGAAAAAAATTCTGAAATATGTGGCCGTACCACAAGAGGGAAGTGAAAGAGAAACGGCGCCGTTTATGTATTCTTTTGGGCCTTTTAGATCTGAGCTGGGGTAGATTTGGGTCTTGGGTTTAATAGAATGAAGATTAGGTCTAAAATGTTTATTCATTACTATAATATATTTAAGATGGGCCAACATTTTTTCTAGGGTTCTTTATTGTCGGACTATATGTTCATAATAATGTTTAAAAAAAAAATAAATAAATCTTGATCAAACTCATATTTGTGGAATAGATACTAAAACTTCATATCGATTTAATATTTAAGGAATGACCCAATATTCAATGCAAGTTGAGACATACAATTGTTTGACTGATTGAATACTACTAATAACAACAGTAACTTTTTATTTTTAACATTAGGTGTTGAGACTTACTGAGTGCTATAGGTTTCTATGCAATTGTATTGATATTTGTAATGTTATAAATTAAATATATACTATGTAATGATTTCGGAATGTTTAAAAAAAATAAATTATAATTTAAGTGCAGAATCGAAATAAATAGTTAAGATTTATATTCTTTATACATAAACTTAAGGTCCCAAATAGTGATATGAGAATTAACATTTTGAAAGAAATACAAAAAAAAAAAAACATCAAGGGGCTTCAGTTGTCCGAAAAAAATATAAAAAATCGAAATTCACCGGTAGCGGGACTCTCCGGTACGACGGCTCATTCGACTCACGTTGCGGTTGAGTGTTTTGTTTCGGTCAACCTACAGAGAAGGAAATGGTGATCACAATTGTGAAAAAATTACGCCGAATGGAAATCGGGAAGGACCTCATTTGAGGCATTTTGTGAAATTCTCTGCGGCGACGTCGCGAGCTTTGCCCGCAGTTTTCGGTCAATCAACTGATTCTTTTGCTTCGATTTAGCCTTAAGGGTGTTTAAAATTGAATTTTGAGTAAAGGAAGAAATTTTTAACTCTTTTGGCGGTCGAAAAGGGCTCCGTGCGGCGGCAGGTGGCGACGACTCTCCTTCCTAGCGGCTAGGTCTTATTCTCCGGCGAGGGTGTCCGGCTGCTAGGGTTAGGTTTTGGTGTGAAGAGAGTTATTTATATCCGTTCCCATTTAATCTGGACAGTCCATTGCGTTTGATCTAAACCGTCATATCGCGATTAAATATGGAGTGAATTTGGACCGTTCATCACGATCTAATTTTGATTGTTCATTGCGATCTAATTTGAACTCTCTGATTACTTTTAAATCTTTTTTAAAAAATTATTTTCAATTTCATCATCCATCACATTTCTTTTATTTTTATATTAAATTAAAAATAAAAAATAAAAAATTATATTTATAATTAATTTAATTTACTAAACTTTGCATACTACTAATTAGAACAAGTAATACTTTAAATTAAAAATAATAAATGAAATAAATACATATATGTACAGGATGTTTATCACTCTAAGAAGTAATTAGTTTTTGCACGCCTGGTGTTATTTTATACAAAATTCCGTCACGAAAAACACAAAGGAAGATTGGCGTTTTCTTGATTTCCACGTCCACACTTAATTTTCCCTGTCAATTCAACTTATTTAAAAATGAAAAAAGACAAGAAAGTCAGTAAAATTATTATTAATTTAAAAAATTAAAATAAATAAAATTAAAATTATCTGTGTAACACATGAAGATTCTCCAATCGCAAGTATCACGTTTGGTTCTTGATCCCATCAATACGACATTAAAAAAAAATAAAAAATAAAATAAAGTTAGCAATTTGGATGGTGCATGTTGCAACTATTTTTTTTTTATTAATAAATAAATAATTTCATTACATTTTATAAATTAAATTATAACAAAATGAAAAAAAATAATAATAATAATTAGGAATTTCTCAGAAGGACCATCCATTGACTTAGAGTCAACTTTTAATAAATTTTCCAACTGAGAAAACTTCGACAAGTAGTTTACCCGGTGAAAATTTCATTAGTCTCCACTCCCAATTTAGTAAGAAAATTCGTGGTAAAATAATAAACATACGAATATTTTGTTGGTTTATTATAATTAATTAATTAAAAGAAGATAAAATAATTTAATATTTTAAATTATATTTAATGTTCAAGAATCTTTTAGGTACCAGTAATGAATTTTATAAAATAAATTATAGTTAGATTTGTATAATATTTGCAGACTGTCAAATTAAATTATTCAGTTTATTTAAAGAGTTTGGTGGATTCCATAAATTTTTGTGAACAAAGTTTTAATTCGATTTTCTAAATCAAATTTATAAAGAAAGCAATTATATTTATGAATTAGTGTTAATGGAAACGGAGATATAAATTAATTAATGTCGTTTTACACATTTTTTTTTTTTTTAATGTATATAAATTCATTGAAAGAGCCAAGTAGTTGCCTTCCTGATCTTATTAGAAAGACTTTTTATTTTTGAAATCTTCCCTACCGGAAGTCTTGGGTCTTCCACTACATAATATTATGTATTAAGATTTGACCAAAATATTTAAAGCTTGGTCCCAGACGCCTTGTGATATCAAAAATTTGAATGAATTAAGTGATATATACATAACGCATAACATAATAAAAATATTTTTTTATTTTATAAATAACGTCTCGATTATTGTTATTAATCGTATTATTTAGATTAACATAATTATTGAATTCTTAATTTTTAATAATTAATTAACAATTTACTAATTATAGAAAAAAAACCTCTTATAATAAAATAAGATAATATAATATATTTACAATTACGTTGAAATTGGTTATCCTCACTGGGGCAGATATTGAAAAGCACACTAAATAATTTGCACTTATAAATGCAGTGTGGTGCTCCATACCCTTTCACAAAAACTCCATTGCCATCACTTTCCCTCTCGTGAGTTTCATTACCAGGTACATATATATCAACTACCAATGGAGAATCTTCTTCCCTACATAGCCGTCTGGGTTGCCACCCTAGCCATCATCCTCCTCTCCCGCCGTCTCCTCCGCCACAAACCCAACTTACCTCCCGGTCCAAAACCATGGCCGATCATTGGAAACCTCAACCTTATCGGTTCACTTCCCCACCGTTCCATCCACTTTCTCTCCCAAAAATACGGACCCATCATGCAAATTCAATTCGGATCATTCCCAGTCGTTGTGGCTTCTTCAGTAGAAATAGCTAAAGCCGTACTCAAAACCCACGATGCCACCTTTGCCGGCCGGCCAAAAACCGCCGCCGGAAAATACACCACGTACAACTACTCCGATATAACCTGGTCCCCTTACGGCCCTTACTGGCGTCAAGCTCGAAAGATGTGTTTAATGGAGCTTTTCAGCGCCAGACGACTAGAATCATTAGAGTACATAAGAAAAGAAGAGATGAAATTACTCTTAAGAGGGTTGTATGATTCAGCCGGGAGTTGTATAACCCTAAAAGATCATCTTTCGAACATAAGCTTGAACGTGATTAGCCGCATGGTGTTAGGGAAGAAATACACAGAGGAGAGTGAGGAGGGTGAGGAGATCGTGTCGCCGAAGGAGTTTAAGGAGATGCTGGACGAGCTGTTTTTTCTGAATGGGGTTTTGGATATTGGAGACTCGATTCCATGGCTGAGTTTCTTGGATTTGCAGGGCTATATCAAGAGAATGAAAGCTTTGAGTAAGAAGTTTGATAGGTTTTTAGAGCATGTGTTGGATGAACATAATGAGAGGAGGAAAAGGGTGGAGAATTATGTAGCGAAAGACATGGTTGATGTGCTACTGCAGCTTGCAGAGGATTCTGCGCTTGACGTCAAGCTGGAGAGACATGGAGTTAAGGCTTTTACTCAAGTACGTAATTTAATTATTATTATTTTGCTAAAAGTTAATATATTGTATATTTATAAATTAGACAAAATATAATAATTAACTATAATATAACCTTAAAAAAAAAAATACACACTGAAACACAACTTGATTTGAAACTAAAGTAAAATTCGATTCAAAATAGAAATTTAACCCTGATTTAAAAATAAAATATCTGATTGAAGAGATATAATTTGATTATTTTATTGTATTTTCTAATAAAATCAAGCATGATTAATACATGTATCTAATATTGTATTGATTGTGTTACCTATAACCTACTAAAGCAAGTTTTTATTTTTAAATCACCCTTTATTAAGGCACAAATTAATTATAACAAAATAAAAATATAATTTGATTTAAATTTATAATATATTTTTTAAAAATAAAATAAAATAAAATATATTATATTTTTAAATTAAAAAATATTTAGTACTAATTATATATTTTTAGTTAAAATAAGCACCACAAATTAAAAATTTTATTAACATTTTTCTTTTGTCAAAAACAGAATGAATTAATCAACTACTGACCAGGTTGATTTGATAGACCCAACAACCGTTAGCCTAATCACTAGAATTTTATATTATTATACCACGTGTAGTGTGCACGGATTGTAATTATCATAGTTTTCAGTTACATCATCTCTACTCAAGTTGGCTACAATGATTGAGACCGCCAACTCATACAACCTAAGCAATCTTTTCTTAATTTATGTCTAGTATACGTATAGCTTAGCTATATATGTATGTATCTGATTTTTCATTTTTTGGTTAAAAGAGAACTGGGTTGGACTCGTATCATTTCCTGATAATATCTACGAAAAATATATAAATATAGATTATATATACATGTGCAGGATCTAATAGCAGGAGGAACAGAGAGTTCAGCAGTGACAGTAGAATGGGCAATATCAGAATTACTAAAAAAGCCAGACATCTTCAAAAAGGCAACAGAAGAACTCGACAGAGTCATCGGAAAAGACAGATGGGTAGATGAGAAAGACATTGTCAACTTACCATTCATAGACGCCATAGCCAAAGAAACCATGCGGCTACACCCAGTGGCTCCAATGTTGGTCCCAAGAATGGCTCGCGAGGACTGCCAGGTTGCCGGCTACGACATCCTGAAGGGCACCCGAGCCTTGGTCAACGTCTGGACCATTGGCAGGGACCCGTCGTTGTGGGACAAGCCGGAGGAGTTTTGTCCTGAGAGATTCATAGGGAAGACGATAGATGTGAAAGGTCATGACTTTGAGTTGTTGCCTTTTGGTGCAGGGAGAAGGATGTGTCCTGGGTATAGTCTTGGATTGAAGGTGATACAGTCGAGCTTGGCTAATTTGTTGCACGGGTTTACGTGGAAATTGCCTGGGGAGATGAAGGTTGAGGAGTTGAGCATGGAGGAGATTTTTGGACTCTCAACTCCTAAAAAAATTCCACTTATTACTGTTGTTGAGCCGAGGCTTCCAACCCATCTCTACAATATATGAGTTGTTTCTAGTTTTATTTTCTTTATCGATTTTCCAGTAACCCGTGTCATATAATTTAAAGTTCGAACCTTTAATGTTAAGAAAAGAAGGGAACTCTTATCCGTATAATTTAAAGTTTGAACCTTTAGTCGTGTAAGCTCGTATCTTTAATGTGGAGAAGAGAAGAAACTTTTATGGTATAATTTAAAGTTCCAACCTTTAATGTCAAGAAAAGAAGGATATACCAAATATTAGATGAAAATCGTTTTGTGGTTTACGGATAATTAAAAAAACTTCTGATGCAGCCTAATTAAAGCTTGTACTATGTAATTATATGACACTTCGTATATCAATAGTTATACAGTTACTCTATTAAGAATGTCATAAAACGAGAGAATATCTAATTGGGTCGGAACCAGTAGCAAATATATATATATATATATATATATATTAGATGATCGGCTATTCAGGCTGAGATATAGATTCTTATTCAGTCTCAGTCCCGTCCGAGCACGGTCCAGTTCATTCTGTTTCTACAGCTTATTCAATCTTATTCTTATTAGTCACAGCAAGCTGTTAAATTGAGAAGGAGCTTTGGATGAAGAAAATCGAAGGGTCTTTCTAATTCGAGGAAGGGTTTCTAGAAAGAAGACAGATTCAGGTGAGTTTCTCGATTTTTTGAAGGAGAACGAAAGAGGGTTTCGTCTGCGAGGGATAAGCAGGGAAAGACCCGAGAAAGGGGAAGAACAGAGAGAAATTTTTAAGAAATTAAGGAGCTGGAGAGTGAGCCGAGTCAAAGGAGACAGCTTTATCCAAGTTAGGGTTCTGCATCTAGGTATTGCTTTTTGTAAAAACCTCAAATTTAGATGAGTCTAAACAAAGGGATGTAAATTAGTGCTGTGAATTTGTTTTAAATGAACTAGTTTGTGAAACCCTGGATCTTCTTCAAGATATGGCCGGCTGGGATATGAACATGCCTTCTTTATTCATTTTAACTAGACCCTAGAATGCATCTCTACCATGAATTTCTCAGTTGTGCCACATGTTAGTAGAAGTAACCCTGTGCAGCATACCTATTTCTCTGCTTAAGATTACTATAAAGCTTGATACTTATTTCTTGTTGGGGTCTGAATTTGGATTAGTACGCTTGTTGCCCTAATTAGTCATATTCTCTTCTGGAATCTGATCATGTTGCCTGAGAAAGTACCCATTTCCGGTCGTTTCTGTTTGGTGCGGTTTTTGGCTGTGTGGAAACTTCATTCAGGAGAAAGGAAGTTTTTATTTCTATTTTCATGCATGTGCTTGATAGCAAATTAGATTAGAAAGAAGTATTTGCTAGTGTAATAGGTTTTAGGTGTTTTGCAGACAAGCCCCCTCCATGATCCATCTGTTTTGTTGGATGATAACTGATCCTTGTCCATTTGATGAATGAATCGTGGACCAGAAGTCTGGGTTTTGCAAATCGTACGGACATATCTTGCAACACATGTATTGATGGCATTTGCTGCAATTGAAAGATATGGTTAAGAAAGTAAACAAGTGAAAAAGTGAAATAACAGTGGGAGGAGAAAATTCTTAACAGTCGGAGAGGAGCATTGGTGGTAGATTTATATGTTTCTTACATATATTAGTTGAATTTAACTTTTTCTGTGAATTCAAGATTTTATCCCCGATTGACTCTTGTTATATCTTGAATACGCAAGATTGCATTTTTTGTAACGCTGCAGAACAATAAACTTGTGTTTAGCATGTGCGTTGAGTCAGTAGGATAGAAAATGAGACAGAAATTAATTAATTTACTTATGTTACTTATCTGTTTTGGTTCAATAACCTTCCGATATTTGAGTATATATTTGAATAATGTCCATTATGGAACATACTGTAGACTGATATCCTGTTTATTTATAACAGTTCTTTTGGTGCTGTAACTTTTAAGATTCTACAGCTTGGATGCCATTTCATATGCATGTCTTCTTGCTTTTCTCTTCCTAATTTTCCCAAATTTATTCTGATCGTTCTCGACAGTTTTGAGGCCAGATAGACCAGTGGCACAACTTATATTTTAGTCGATCCAAGGTTATCGGGGATTCCAAGAACAAAACACAACTTCAATTGATTTCAAGGATCAAACCTATCAATGTAATCACTAACTATCATCTTCTCGTGCAAATGCATACCACCTAATCCTCTCCTTCTCTTCTCATGCCCATTAATGCAAAAATTTTCTCATTTATTATATAAAACAACAATGGGGAATATTTTAGTTAGAAGACCGTTAAACTTAACGCTAGCTCCATCTCAAAGTCGTACTCTATTGGCTCCATGTTCCGCTTCATCTTTCTCTTCAACTTCCTACTTCACAACCGACTCGGGATTCAGTAACATGGCAACAGTTTGGTCCTCTGAGTTACCTCAGGTGCCGAAATTGGTTGAGGGATGTGACTATCGGCACTGGCTTGTGGTAATGGATGCTCCCAAGGGGTACCCACTTCGTGATGAGATTGTTAATGGCTATATCAAGACCTTATCCATGGTTCTGGGAAGGTAAGCCTCTTTGTCTTTTGCTCTCAAATTTGATCACTTTCAGTGAGTCGACTCACTTGCACGACTTCACTTTCTTGCTCAGAAAGTTAGCTCTTTATCAAATTCTCAATAATCCATTTCCAATCCCCTTTCTTGACGTTAATATTATGTAAACAGCTTAAAGATGAGTGTATATTGATGTTTAACTAGTAGTAATCTATTTGGTTTTTTGGTTGGTTAATTTGATTTCTGCAGCGAAGAGGATGCAAAGAGGTCAATATACTCTGTCTCCACCAAATACTACTACGCATTTGGCTGCAGAGTCCCAGAAAATTTGACTTATAGGATCAAATGTAAACTTCCTGATTCTCATTTTTTTTTGGTTTTTTTTTTCTATTGAATTTTCCCATTTCTTTTCTCTTTACAAACATTTGTTAATTTTGATCATGCAACCATATCAATTGCAGCTCTACCTAATGTGAAATGGGTTTTGCCAGATTCCTACTTATTTGATGTGGAGGGTAGCTATGGAGGTACTATTTTCTGTGGATTATTTTCCATTATCAAATAAGGATGTATGGCATGCAATTCCTAGTGCTTGCATAGTGAATTCGGGATTCTGCCAAATGATTTATGCTTGGAATTAGATCATGTTCTAATAATATATATCAAGACTAATGTGATATATAGAACTTCAAATTAGATATTCATTATTGCAATATCAACAGTAAATGGTTTTTCTATAGTTAAATTCTTTTATGATCAGGTTACTGCAGCTTCATTTGCTGAATATACTCTTCTCACAGGAGAACCATTTGTTGATGGGAAGGTTGTCACATACGATGAGAAGTACCACGAAGACTGGTTTCGCGATAAGAAGGATGAAAGTGGTAGAGGTACAGAGCATGCAAGGAAAAGCAGGAGAAGAAGTAAGAAAAATTCAATGTAAGAAAAATTCAATGTAAGCTAACATGTGCTGCTGAATTTTAAAATCCCCTTTTGGAGGTTCACATATAGATATCAAGCTGACTACTAGAGTCCCATGGACGTTTTGGGGTTGTCATCTGAATGGATCTTGTTGGTCAAATTGTGAGCTATATTAACATACGATTGGATGAATATGCATTTCAGTGCAACACTTGCTTGATATCGATTTTGGAGCCTCGATGCTTATGGCGATTGCCTTGTACTGTGAGCAGAAGATTCAGGCTTACGTGCTACATGGGTATGATGCAGGAACTGGGCGTAGACATTTTCATTTTCAGCAATTGTTTTGAAGATAACACGAGGAATCATTCAATTCATGTTGGTTTATTATCAATGACCCTTGGCTTTATTAATTATTATTACTCTCTTTTGACACCTTATGTGATTTTCACTTTCTTACCGTGTTGACGATCGCAGTTGGGTTTTATTATTAAATATCCGTTGAGAGTATGGATGGCACGTGCATATGCGGACTTGTCAAATACTTGCAGTCAGAGAATGTAAGCAGCAGCTGGATTTTGCTGTATGGTTGTCTACGTAGTATTGCACAGACTTTTGACATCCCAGTATGCATATGCAATTTACCAGCCATTAGTTACCTGAATAATTAGTGTGTCCATTTCTCAACAACAGATCATGGTTTCGAATTGGGAGGGGGAGGGGGGGGGGGGGGGGGCTGTACTCCCGCATATGTTCCTATGTCAAATATATTTCTATCATTATGCAGAATATTTTCTTATTCTTGGTCTCTTTATTTCTTATTATTCAGCAAAAGAATTTTTCTTTTACAAAAAACAAAAAAAAAAACAAAACAAAAACAAAACAAAATTCTCAAATTTGAGATGATCATTGAAGTGACAGTTCTATCAAGGAGATGATGTTGAAGCGGGATTTATCTCATCTCTTCACATCTAATTGCCTGCATGCAAGTTTGGTTTCATAGGCTGGAATTCGGAAGAAGTGAACCATCCTTGTTATTCCATATCAAAAAGATGATTTAAGTTAGGTGGAAAAATTTCCTCCATTGGGAATTTTTCTCTCCCTGTTTAACTTCATTGTTTGAGACTTTTAACCCACTTAGTTGGCTAGTCTATGTTGAGGTTACGTCCAATGTTTGCTTCATCTTTTAGATTTATTTAGCACGTTTTTAAATCTTTCTATTTCTATTTACAACATCAAGTTTCAGTTATTCAAATAATACTAAAATTGTCGGTCACAAATAATTTCATTATCATTTCTCCAAGCCTATCAACATGATCTATAAAGCATACATTAGTCATGATATATAATTCAGATAGCATAATATTCTTATTGTAGATTTGATGATTTGACATTCGTCTCCCAGTTGGACTCCATCTTCTACGCGATTTTTTAAAAATAGTGAGCTTTAACAGGCTGGATTATCTGACTGGGGATTTTAAGTGGGTTGCTCGAATTTCTTGCTGGAAGTTTTTGAAAA